AAGTAAAAAGTATTTAAAATCGATTTATTTGTTTATTTTTCGAAACTAAATTAATACTTATTTACGTTCGTAAAGTTGGAAACCGAGTGTTCTTTTTTTTTAGGGATGTCCCTATATCTTTCCACTAGCCAAAAACTCTGCGGAGTCTTTTGGCGAAGAAAATCCTTCCAGAAAATCAGGGTCTTTGTGGTTCGTGTAGCATCTTTTCCCTAATTCTTTCAGATCGTCAGGTAGTATAGGATCAACTGAGGCAAAATCTGGAATAGGTGTAGATTGAATTCGAGTTGGGCTTTTTTTAGTTTGAACTTTTGATACTGGAGGTTGAGCAGTGGTAGTGGAATGACTTGATGATGGAATGTCTCCTGGATCTGAATCAAGGTCTACACCATAGCGAGGCCTCAATTGTTCCATGTGCCGCTTCCATATTGGACCATTAGGTACAATGTGTACTAGAACATTTCGTGCTCCTAAGACACGATGAACTATAGCAGAAATCCATCTTGGAGTTCGATCTCTAAGAGGACCATTATATTGTACGTAACATGGAGAACCTGTTGTGTATTTTACGGATTTCCGAGTTGGAACTTGTCTTTGAGAGTTTTGCTTCATCTGTCTGTATTGGGCAATGTGAGGGGCAGACGGTAACAAAGCATCCAGTTTAACTCGAATCTGTCTTCCGTTCAACAACTCACTTGGAGAATAACCTGACTCCAAAGGTGTTCTCCGGTATTGAATCAAAAATTCCTGTAAGGCTTGTTTGGGTGGAAGCTGAGATTTTCTCAATGAATTCTTGAAAGTTTGTACGAATCTTTCTGCTTGACCGTTTGAAGCTGGATGATACGGCGCACCAGTAAGATGTATAATTCCTCTTTCTCTGAGCCAATCTTGAAATTCTTCGGAAATGAATGCAGGAGCATTATCAGAAACAATCGTATGAGGATAACCAAAATGTGCAAAATCCTCTTCTAGTAAATTCATTGTAGCTTTTGCTGTAACATTTGAAGTTATGTGAATGCATGGATATTTAGAATAACTGTCCACAACAATTAACCAATTATTCCCCAAAAAATTGATTGCATGATCAATATGGATGCGACTCCATGGCTTTTCGGGAAGTATCCATGGGTGGTTTGGATATTTTGGTGGACTGTTCTGATGAGCAGCGCATGATTCACAATTTCGGCATAGTTCCTCGATGTGGTGGTCAATGCCTGGCCAATATACAACTGATCGGGCTAACTGTTTCATTTTTCTCATCCCAAAATGACCCAGATGTAGCAGTTGAAGAACTTTATCTTGAATCTTGTGTGGAATAACAATTCTATTTCCAAGAACTAAACAATCACTCTGTGTAGTCAGTGTGTCTTTCAACTTCTGGAAATGTTGAACTTGTTCTTGTTTAATCGAATGAGGCCAGCCTTCTTTGACATATCGACAAACAGTTGAAATGATGGGATCTTTACGAGATTCTTTTGCCAGAGTCTGAGCATCTGTCGGTATAAGTTGTTGACTAATCATTTTTATTGTGCACACTGTAAATTCATCTACATCTTTTTCTTGAAAATCAAAGTCTGGATCTTCACCTTGTGGCAATCTGCTAAGTGAATCTGCATTTCCATGATCTGTTGATTTTCTATATTCAATTGAATAGTCGTATTGATGAAGCATCAGGGCCCAGCGAGCCAAACGATTTGCTGCTATCACTGGTGTTCCTTTTGAAGGATTGAAAAGAGCCAACAACGGTTTGTGATCAGTGACCAGAATGAATTTTCGTCCATAGAGATATTGGTGAAATTTGTGTAACCCATATATTATAGCTAGTGCTTCCTTGTGAATTTGACTGTACCGACGTTGGGATTCAGTAAGTGTTTTTGAAACATTGAATAATGGTCGTTCCTCCCCATCAGGATACCTGTGAAACAGAACTACCCCCAATCCAACTTCTGACGCGTCACAAGAAATAACCAATGGAAGCGACTTGTCGAAATGTGCCAACTTGACGTCTTTCATAAGAATTTTTTTAATCTTTTGAAAAGTTAGTTCTTGCTTTGAAGTCCATTTCCAGGGTGTATCTTTTCTTGTAAGACATGTCAGAGGTTCAGCAATCGTTGCAAGATTAGGGATAAACTTGTGATAAAATTGAACAGAACCCAGAAATGATCGTAATGTTGATATATTAGTAGGGTGTGGCATTTTAAACAAGGCGTCAACATTCTTTCCTTTATTAACACCTTCTCCTGAAAGTATGTGACCCAAATATTCAATTGAAGTTTGTCCAAAAACACATTTCTTCTTGTTGCATTTCAGACCTTTATCACGAAGGCGTTGAAGAAGAGATCTTAAATTCTTATTGTGCTCATCAACACTGGATCCTCCAACAAGAATATCATCTAGATAAACTGCGACTCCTTTCAGATCACAAGTTAGTCTATCCATGATTTCTTGGAAGTAGCCTGGAGCTGAAATAATACCAAACGGAAGTCTGGTTTGAAGTAAAACTCCTCTATGTGTGCTCAATGCAAGTTTTCTTTGACTGTTTGGAGCAAGTTTTATTTGATTGAAAGCATCAGCAAGATCTATTTTGCTAAAGTAACGACTTCCTCCAAGTTTTTGTATCAAGTCTTCAGGAAGTGGCATTGGATGTCGATGTGGTTCCAGCTGGGGGTTCACAGTAACTGAGTAATCCCCACAAATTCGAAATTTTACTTTTTCCTCTCCTGGATTTAATCGTTTTTTTATGGGTACTATGGGTGTTCCATAGTCATTGAAATCTACTGGAATCCAGATGCCTTTTTTAATACCAGCATCTAATGTATTATTGAGATCCTCTTGAAATGAAAATGGCACTGTTCGAGCTTTACAGAAAACTGAATTTGAATCTGGTTTGAACTTAACTTCCAATTCAAAATTTTGCAAACATCCAAGTCCTGGTTCAAAACATTCTTTAAAATCTTCACAAATTTGTTGACAACAGATGAAAACTTTGACATCAGTTGAATTTTCTTTAATTTGAAAAACTTGTTTATTCAAAGCTGCTGTTACATCAATTTCTAGATCAAGAATTGCTTTTCTGCCTACAAGATTTAGGTTAGGTAGTTTTGTAACATTGAATTCTACAATTTTTTTATCATTTGATTCTGGAATAGAAGTTGAAACCTGACAAACTCCAATGACTGGGATTTTGTCCCCAGTTGCTGAAATAAATCTTGTAGAATTAGAATGGAGTTTGGGTCGACCCCATTTTTGCCAAACTTCTAAAGAACAAAAACTATCTCTTGCTCCACTATCTAGTTCAAAAAAATGTTCAGTATTCTTGAAGAGTAACTTTTGAAGAAGAGGTGTATTTCCAGGAATAGAATGTATAATTCTAACTGAACTGTTTTGTTGAAACTTTTTTTTTAAGCAAACTTTTTCAAGATGACCAGTCTTTTGACAAAAATTGCACTTTGTATTTATGTATCTACAATCTCTGGCATGGTGACCTTTGTTTCCACATCTAGGACAGGTGCCTTTTGAAAAAGGAAATTTGAAATTTTCATGTTTTTTATTGAAAAGAACTGCTTTTTCTTTTGATTTGTTAGTAGGACTTCTAGAAACTTTAGAAACAAATTCTGCTTTTTCTTCTGGAGAGCCATGTACAGTTGCTTTAGCGACTTTGGAGGCTTCTTCAACTTCTGTAGCTAGTTCTATTGCTCTGTAGAATGTTAATTCATCTTCTGGAACTTTGAAAAGAGACTTAAGAACAGCTTCGTTATTTACAGAGCAAATGAATTTTGTTCTAAGTGCTTCATCTAAAGGATCATTTATTTTTGAAAAATCACATGTACTTGCTGCTTGACGAATTCTAGATGCAAGTTCTTGTAGTGTTTCACCTGGTTTTCTAGAAATTTCATTCCAGAACTTATATCTTTCCCTGACAATAAAGTGCTTGGGACTGAAATTTATCTCCATTGTTTGTGAAATATCATTCATTTGTAACTCGTTGACATCACGTGGAGGAGAAAGTTGAGATGCCGCGACTTGAAGAAGCTTGTAAATTTCTGGAGATTGATTCGTCAGAAAAACTTGAGCAATTTTTGAGTTCGGGACTGAATTGGCAGAAACGAACGTTTGAAAACGAGGTAAGTAGTCAGTCCAAAGCTCTTTTTTTGAACAAAAGGCTTCGAAAGTGGGAACGGTTGTCGAACTTTGAACTATTGATTTGACCAGTGTCTCCATTTGCTTCGAAAATCCTTCCAGAAAAATTTTCAGTTCGGCCATATTTGAAAAAAAAAAAAAATCCTGTCGACTGCGCCAATTGTTGTGACCTTATATATTGACAACGCAAAAAAATAACTAAGTTAAACTTTAATAACTTTATTTAACAAAATTCTTGAAAAGTAAAAAGTATTTAAAATCGATTTATTTGTTTATTTTTCGAAACTAAATTAATACTTATCTACGTTCGTAAAGTTGGAAACCGAGTGTTCTTTTTTTTTAGGGATGTCCCTATAACTTCTTTTTATACTCTTTATATATAGAACACGTAGCAAGAGTCGCATATATGGCCTAGCAAATAAAAATATACATTAGGGTGTCCCAAAAATATGAAGTTTTAAAATATTGATGTCTCACCCCATTAAATAAGTCTGTGTGGTAACAGTAGTTTACCTGCCAAATTTTAGCCCATTTGGACAATGTTTAGAGGTTCCCCAGGGGGTCAAAAGTTTCTGATTTTGGTGTTTGATCGTTCGCTACCAACTTTTGATACAGTGTTATATGATATGATTGTAAATGTTTTATGATTTGTTTATACAAATGAAACAAAATATATAATTGTGTAAAAATATATAAATCTGCAATGTCTTTTATTTTTTAATTTCAAAAATTAGGTCAAAAATGATTGAAAAACAAGATTTTATTGAATTTTAGTTCGCTTGATTATTAATTAATGCAAATAATTCAATTTTTAGCTAGCAATTCACGACTATATTCTGCAAAGGTTTTCCTATGCTGTTCAACTACTTGAAGCAAAAATTTTTCTGCTCTGCGTTTTTGGTTATGGTTTCATTGAAATGTTGTACCAACGCTACTCCCCGTTCTGCAAAGTCATTGATGCAAACTAGATTTCTTACAAACACTGCTGCAACTTGGAATGAAGGAGTATCTGACCAGTTTTCAACAGGTACATCAAAAAAACTGGCATCAATATTGGATGTTTCAAAAAAATTTTTAGACGCACGTAAATTGTTAAAACTTTGTGGTAGTGTTTTCATCAGATTTGGGCCTCGATTTTCTTGTATTGTGCGGACAAGATCAGTCTTTTCTTTATCAGACAGGAAAAATGAAAAAAAGCAAGAGTTGCCAATTTTGGACTCATGTATCAAGAATGACGCAGCATCATTTTTAATTCAGTCGAACCAAGAACTGCGTCGTCGTAGTCGTGCAAACGCTGTATCAACAAAATATCATTCACAGGTGCATCAGAAGTGAGCCTGCATGAAAACCATGGCTGAAGATAAACACAAATGATAAACCGATTCAAACGTTGAATACCTTGTAATTCTCGAGCTGTTAAGTTAAAAATGGTTTTATTTACGGTGAATAATAGTTCAATTTTTAATGCGTAGATGGCTTTTGTCATTCATCGTGCCCTGTGCAGTGCATCAGGTTTGCGAATGGTTACATCAACCTGCAGCCCAACTATTTGTGCAGCAAGAAGTAGAAACTCTAAATAGTCATCTCGTGAATGTCTGACCTCAAGTTGACATTTGATGAATGCTTTAATTGCATCTTAAACAATTATCAAAAGGGTTGATCTGGCTTCTGGTGTGTGATTCATTTCGGTCCATTTTTCACGAAACCTTTTGAAAAATAAAATTTCTTGTCCAGTGGATGGTCCAAGACAAACATTGAATACATCGGCAAGCAGCACTTCAAACATATGATAACGGCAAGCCATCCATAATAAATTACGTCCCATGGCTTTTTCTAGAAGAGTGCAAGCTCCATTGAGTTTTCCAGTATTGGAAGCTGTCGTGTCAAAGCACATGCCAATAACCATTGATTCACACTTCAAAGAATTTATATGTTCATGAACTGCATCAGCAGCTGCTCGTCCTGATCCAGATGCTAACTCCAAGAAGTTTTGTAGTGCCATCGACAAGTGATGAGGGCAGTAACCGTAGTGCCATCGGCAAGTAACCGATCTACGTTGACCACACCAGTAACATCGATCAAAAGTTTCCCATCCCAATGAACAATGGATTTTGAGGGAACATAATTTTCTTTTATAAGAGCCGCAGCTTGTTGATGACGGCGCTGACAATGTCTCTGCATTGTACTCTTGGAAAATATTGTCTCTGATATCGGAACACCAGCTTCGTTGAACGCCGATGCAAGAATCATAGTTGACTTTCTAATGCTGGTATTTGTGCTATCCAGCACAGCTGCAACATTGGGAGATATAATGTCTCTGCGATGTCTGCGTTGTGTTGTAGAATTTGTTTTACCTGAGCATGCTGATTGTACAAGAAATTCTTCATCAGATTTATCATCTTCATTAGAATCATGGCAAACGGATGATGTCGTTGAATGTGTTGCACTGTCCAGTTGTTGGTCTGCAGCTGACTCTGCTGTTGATGATAACCCACTCCGTCCACGGTAAATAATTTTTGATACAGATTATCATTATATAGGTAATTGTTAATAATATTTTAAACTCTAATTAATGTCAGCAGTGAGATAATTAAACTAGTTTGCATTTCTAGCTTTATTTCACTCATTTTGTGCGTATTGTTTAAGATTATTGATATGGATTTTGAATTAACTCGATGGTAAAATTTTAAAAGTCCTTGGGGGACCTCTCAAACTTGTTCAAATGAGCTGTAACTTCACCAATTTAATTATTGTACCCAAGAGACACTTTTCAGAGGGTGAGACATCAACTATTTAAAAAAAAATTTCCGTGCATTTCTGGGACACCCTAATATACATAAAAATGTTTACTTTAATATATACAGGCAGCAAACTTCAAAGGCGCAATCATTATCATATACATATACAGTCATCTGTCACAATTTCACAAGCTCCTCACCCACAAAAACCTCGTCTCGGTGTTTATCCTCATAGATCTTCCCTAGATTCAGGAATTTCCACTATCCATCTTTCCATCTCCGGTCTTCATCTCGTCGGCTGTCTTCTTTTTCTTTTTGCCGTTGTTATGGTATCTGACTGAGCATTCGTTGGTTGCTGATTATACTCTGCCGGTCGTTCGTCAAAACAAATGAACAAATTCATCGGTGGCTGGTTGCATTCTATGAATATTGTTATATGACACAAATCGCACATACACGACATCGTAATATTTAGTTAAGTTAGGTTATACATACACGTATGCCATACATTTAATATAAGTTAATAGACATCACAACTCAAAAATAGTTAGTATATAAGAGCTTGACTGAAACTACGCGAAAGTAGGTAGAGATAAAACAATGCATATAATGATATAGTTAAAGATTAATTGTTTGGTATAGTTAATAACCAGATGATTGCCAGTAGAACAAGGCAGAAGTCGAGAATCAGAAGTGCTAATTAGTGAGATTCAATTCAATCGACATATTAGTAACATTCAACGTCAATTTATGTTTCAATTATAAATCTGAAAACTTACAATAAAGAAACCAACCAAAGGTTATGTGTACTTTTATTGTTTTATAATCTGGCAAGCCGCAGTTTAACAATAACTAATATAATATATGGTAGAGAACTATAACCTATATAACATGGTGGAGAACCGTTTTTCGATTCTCAACCCTCAACATTGACCCCAGCTATGATAATATTATGAAATATTCATATAATTTAAGAAGTAAATCGGATAACCATTTTTCATCATTATACGACAATAATTTAACTAGTCACACAACCAATACCTCAACAACTAATATAAAAGATACCTCATACAAACGAATTCCATCATCATACTCATTATCATCAGCAAATAACGCAATGGCAAGTAACGATAATAACGGTAACATTACGCAAACACAACATTTATCTTCACAAACTTTTGCACAACCTACTACTTTCAATGGCACAAACGAAAACGCTAAAAGTTGGTGGAAACGATTAGAAAACTGGTTAATTTTAAACAATTTATTAACGCTAAACGACCAAGACGAGATCCCAGACGATTACAAACAAAACATGTCTAAGATTCTCTCTGTTCTTTCCCTCCTATTCCAAGGAACGGCAGGACAATGGTTCGATTCGTTGGATAGACAAGCTAGATGTTCTTGCAACCATTTAAAAAAAACATTTCTTGCAAAATATCAGCCGGAAGATCTTCGTTGGAAAAGTCTTAGTGACATCTGGTCCATTAGACAAGGTAAACGTGAAACAGTTGATCATTATCTTTTCCGCATGCATAATCTTGCAACAAATGCTGCAATGAATAAAAATGATGTAGCTTATTACTTCGCCGTTCGACAAGGACCGCGAGAAGATATAAAAAGGGTGTAACTTACATGCAACCGGATACCATCGACGAATTAATTAAAGCAGCAAAAGAAGTTGAAGCAACATGTTTGTACGACAACCACGTTAATAATGGCACGTTTGAGGAGGACTCGTTGTTAGATAAATTTACAAATTTATTCAATACCATTCAAAACTTTCAGAAGAACGAAATAAACGACACGAAAGAGAGTACACACACACAACGTCACAACAGTAGAAACGATGCCAAGAACCATTATTCTAATAAGCATCACTCTCCAGCACAATCACCATCTCGTTCATCATCTTCACGATCGTCATCAACACAGCCCACTCAATCAAACCATACGAAGAGTAACAAAGGTAGTAACAAACAGGTTCATTTTTCATACAGTAAAAGTAACACAGCACAGATGAAATCATGCACAAAATGTGGTCGACAACATGTCATGTATCAATGCTCTGCATACAAAAAGACGTGTTATAACTGCTCGAAGATGAACCACTTCGCTCACATGTGCCATGGAAAGAACAAGAACGATTGACAATTAACGACTACTCGCATCACCAAACCACACATATCATCACATAATTACCTACACAACAAATCAACAATATCAACACATGATACAAACAAAATTCACATTCGCATTCGCAATCATCATTTTACTGCACTTATAGATACAGTCGCAAAAGTTTCATGCATTAATGAGACTGCTGCGAAGAAACTTAATTTAATTAGGGAGTGTAATAACAATAACATTTTAGAATTACGTTCAGCGGATGATCAACCATTCAAAGTTAAGGCTCAGTTAATACATATGTAGAAATTGAACATTTAAAACTACATGTCACATTTCATATTGTACGCAATTTATGTCACAATATTATTTTAAGCATAGATTTTCTAAATGATCATCAAGCTGAGATAAATTCCAAAGCTAATATTATTTCGTTTTATGATAATTTCATTATTTCAAATATAAATAATTTTAAGTCAAGTGCACGCAATAAATATGCTTACAGTGCCACACAAATTAGCATCCCGCCACATACAGAAACTATTTTTCAGACACATTCAACACAACCATTAAATAAAAACGACACATTTAATAGAACCTAAGATTTCATCACCTACACATAAGTTTATTGTTGCACGCACAATATCACATGCATCATCCAACACCATCATATGCCGTGTACTAAACATCACAAAAACGCACATTACCATCCAGCCATACACATACATAGCAAGAATAGAAACCATTAACAAAAGTAAACATACAGTGCGAGTAGATCAAAATAATTTGGACCAAGACCAAGTTGGCATAAACAGTTGTTATTATAAATGTTCACGTTCGAAAAATAAATTACAAAGACTCATCCTACGAACTCTAACCATTAACAAAAGTAAACATACAGTGCGAGTAGATCAAAATAATTTGGACCAAGACCAAGTTGGCATAAACAGTTGTTATTATAAATGTTCACGTTCGAAAAATAAATTAATTACAAAGACTCATCCTACGAACTCTGCCAATTTTAAATTACTTAACGAAAATAAAATGCACTCGTTAACGTCAATCAAAACTGTTGAACAAATATTAGAAGAGATGAAGATAACGATAAAAATTAATGCACGCACACCCGATGAAATAAAAATTTTAAAACAATGCATTGTAAACAACCGTGATGTATTTGCGACATCATTATCGGATCTTTTATGTTCAAACTTAAAGTCATATCGCATCGATACAGGCGATCATACACCAATTAGAAAACGTGTTTATCCCGCAACAGCAGAAAATAAACAGGTAATAAGTAAACAATGCAATGAATTTTTAAAAATGGGATTCATAAAAGAATCTAATTCTCCCTGGAGCGCAAGCGTTTTACTTTTAAAGAAAAAAGACGGAACTAAGATATTTGTTGTAGACTACCGACATTTGAACAAAATAACAAAGCAATTATTTTACCCTCTTCCTACTTTTGATGATGTAATTGAAAATTCATCGCATTCTAAATCAAATATATTTTCAGTCTTAGATTTGAGATCGGGATTCTATCAATTATCGTTAGATCCAGAAACAGCTCATAAAAGTGCTTTTAGTACTCATGACGGTCACTTTGAATTTACAAGATTGCCGCAAGGTTTAGCAAATTCACTATTTTCTTTTCAACTCTTAACACAATCAGTACTAAAACAATTAACCAATATAACATGCTTGGTTTATGTAGATGATATAATTTGCTTTTCAAATGGAATGGCAAATCATGTTGAACATTTAAACGAAATATTTCAACGTTTTAGAGACGCAAAACTTAAACTTCATCCAAAAAATGTCAATTCGCAAAAAATAAAGTTTTATATCTAGGTTATTATATTACTGATAATGGATTAGAAACCGACTCTAGAAAATAAAAGTAATTCGTAACTTTCCTGTCCCAACTAATTTAAAATCGTTGCGTTCTTTTGTAGGATTAGCACAGTTTTACAGAAGATTTATCAAAAATTTTTCAACGATTGCTGCATCTTTGTACGAACTGCAAAAAAAGATACCATCTTTGATTGGACACTACAGTGCCAATCTGCCTTTGATACGTTAAAATATGCCCTCCAACAGACGCCTACTTTAAAATATCCCGATACGACAAAACGTTTCATATTAAATACCGACGCTTCGACAACCTCAATATCTTACATACTACAACAGAAATACTCTAACGGTGCTGTCAGACCGATTGCATTCGTAAACAATCACATATAGTCTTACTTTTATTTAAACTATAATTTATTAACAATATACCTAATAATTAACTTATATAACAATATATCTGGTCGTTGTTCAAAAATTTCGTCGGCTAGCATCATGAGTTATGGAATGATGTCAGGCTGCACTTGTGGAAGTTCTTCTGACTTCTCTTTACTTGCCAGGGTTTGGACAACCAACTCTTCCGACACATCGCTACATTGTGTTGGTGATTCAGTTGGCCCCCTGATTGAAATGTCTTCTGAGGTGCTTTCAGAAACAAACTCCGGCACTTGAAAGGTCTTTTATGGCCTGATCAGCTCTTTTTCTGCGCCTTCCAGGTTTATCTTCTCCATCAGGAATATCTTTTACCAATCCATCATCCATGCCTGTTACCTCTGTTAGATTGACACATTTTTTTTATTTGATTCTATTTGCTTGTTGATGAACTTGGCACCTGTCGCCTAAAAAATTCAGAGAATAACTTTGGCTCCTGCTGCACCTAAAACCTAGAATGTTTGAAAAAGAGGACCCACGTTGGGCGCCAATTGTAGATTTTTCCTGGGCGACATTTGAACCGCGTTCGCATACGAATATCCATCCGAGCCTTAACCTCAGCGGACTCTTTCCTATCTAGGAGCGCCACTCTACGATAGACTCTCGCAAGGTCTGAAAACACGGGTCGGACGAAGTTTGTTCGCGCCCTTCTGGTTGACTAGAGACGCCGGCCTCGTCAACTATCAGCAAGTTTTCTTCAACATTTGTTATTTTAGGTAAAATAATAAAGCCGAGCCAAAGTTAAGTGTATGCTTCTTTTATTTAATAAAAACAAAACAATAAACATCAAACCTCTGTTTTTATTTACAAAATAACAATGATAATATTCAAAATCGCAATATATTAAAATTGACACGCAAATTATCAGAAATCGAACCTACAGACTAAAATCCAAGCGGCTTTAATCAAGAGCTAAAAAGAAAAACAAATCGACCAAAACCTAAAAACTAGGGCGAAACCAAGAGCTTGAAACCTAAAAACTAAGAGCAAAACCATGAGAGCTTGTATATTAACTCGCTACCATATATATGTTTCGACTACCGTATCTATATAACAACTTTCTATACTATAGAAAAATCTATATTTCTTTCTATAATCATTTTATACGGAACAACACATAGCAAGCGTCGCATATTGGCATAACAAATAACAAAAATATACGTACATAGAAGTGCTCATCTAAGTATATAAATATATACAGGCGGCAAACTTCAAAGGCGCAATCATTATCATATACATATAGTCGTTCTGTCACAATTTCACATAATAATACGCAATTATATATAATTGTGAAAATATATGTTGTCAAATGTGTTATGTAATCAAAATCATTTTAAAAAAGTGATGCAAAACATTGTTCCTTTTGGTATGCTCTGTGTTAACTTACGGTTAAAAAATGAGCCAATTTATTATTATTTATTTATTTTATTTATTTATTTATTTTCACCTCCAAAAATAAAATCAAAGGCAAAGGATGACTGTGAGGAGTCAATAGAGACTCATCGGGCACAGTCACCCAAACAAAAATCAATGTTTGTCATTGCTGAAGAAACGTAAAATATAAAATGAATATCATCAAGAAAAGAAAATATTTCTGCAATTATATCTTAGTAGACAGTTGATTATAATGAAATTAATTAATTATCACTTACTCATACAAAAAATACTCATACATGCACACACTTACGTGCATATACATACATATACACACAGCAAGGGAAAAATATAACTGAAAGAGAAATCCAGCAAAGGCAACAAACAGGAAAGCGATAAAGGAATATGAAGAAAAACTAAGTGAGAACATAAAAAAGACAGTAAAAGCTTTTTCAGTTACATGAGAAGCAAACAAAAAAAGAAAGATAAAGTGGGGCCTCTAAAGACTGACCAAGGCAAGATTGTAACGGAAGAAGAAGAAATTGCTGAGATGTTCAATAACTACTTTGGATCGGTGCTGACAAAAGAAAATACAAATAACATAACGGAGCCAAAAAAATTGTTTGGGAGTAGCCAAGAAAGGATGCTTACACGTGTTTACATAACAGAAAAGATGGGTGTCGATTTACATAACAGAAGAGATAGTTGTCGAAATACTAGGAAGTCTCAAAGAGAATAAAACTTCAGGAATAGATGAGCTGCACCCAAAATTTTTAAAGGAAATAAGACATGAAGTAGAAGCCACACTGTGCGAAATATTTAATGACTCTTTAAGATCAGGAGATACACCAAGGGATTGGAGAGACGCTATCGTCACGCCGTTGCTACATAAAAGGTTATCCAAAAAGTTACAGGCATGTGGGGTAGAAAGAAATCTGCTACAATGGATAAAAAATTGACTGAAAGATAGGAGACAACAGGTGCGGATAAAAGGAATAAACTCGAAGTGGATAGATGTAACAAGTAGCGTGCCTCAGGGATCGGTATTGGGACCGCTATTATTTGTGATATACATTAACGACATCGACGAAGGAATAGTCTCTAAGATTTCAAAGTTTGCAGATGATACCAAATTATGTGTGAAAGTCAACAACGAAAAAGATGCGGAAATATTGAAAAAAGACCTAGCAAGACTGTACCAATTTTTATCCGTTTGTTGTGTTGGTGCTATTATTACAAGACATGCTATTCATGGATTTTTCATTACTGACTTTAACAGCGTGTTGGTTTAGTAACTAAGGTGAATGGTTGGTCAACATCTTCAACTGGGGTACCCGGAAAATTAAACCATTTATTCTCCGTAGCACATTGAATTTTGTTTTCACATGATTATTATTATTATTAACAGGGTTTAAAGTGGTTCAGAAGATTATAGTCTGGGTAAGAACCACTACTAATTAGATCTTCTAATATCCTATCTGTCCGAGTTTGGCTTTGAAGCTGTTAAGTGAATTCACAGAGACTGCATCATCACTTAGCTCGTTCCAGGCGTTGACCACTCTACTGCTGAAAAATCTGCTCTTTATTTTTCCATCCGAGTTTTTGAAAATCTTAAATCTGTGTCCTCGTAGTTTATCACTGTTTAATAGCCTGAAAAATCTCGAGTATGGTGTTGTTTCTTTGTTCATGATCTATTTGTATGTTTGGATTAGATCTCCTCTGCATCTTCTTTTTTCTAATGATGTTAAGTCGCATTTTTTCAATCTCTCATCGTATTCAATTTTTCAGATTCCTCTAATCATTCTTGTGGCTCTACGTTGTATTTTTTCTAAAACTTTTTTATCTTTTTGCATATATGGGCTCTATGCTTGAACACAGTACTCCAGATGAGGTCTGACTAGGATTTTGTACAGTTTCATTATGATATGCTTCTCTCTGCTGACCATTGCTCTTATAAATCTTAAGATCGTATTGGCTTTGGCCGCTGCCACTGTGCATTGTCTTGACGGTTTTGTGCTTTGATGAACAATGTTTCCTAGATCCTTTTCTTCCTCTGTTGAACGTAGTTCTCTTTCACAATGTTTATATTAACATATAGCGTTCTTCCTTCCTAAGAGCATGACTGCACATTTTTCAACGTTGAAAAGCATATGCCAGTCCTTGAGATATTGTTATATAGGTTATAGTTCTCTACCCTATATTATATTAGTTATTGTTAAACTGCGGCTTATCAGATTATAAAACAATAAAAGTACACATAACCTCTGGTTGGTTTCTTTATTGTAAGTTTTCAGATTTATAAATGAAACATAAATTGACGTTGAATGTTACTAATATGTCGATTGAATTGAATCACACTAATTAGCACTTCTGATTCTCGACTTCTTCTTTTTCTTGTTCTTCTGGCAATCAACTGGTTATTAACTATACCAAACAATTAATCTTTAACTATATCATTGTATGCATTGTTTTATCTCCACCTACCCTCGCGTAGTTTCAGTCAAGCTCTTATATACTAACTATTTTGAGTTGTGATGTCTATTAACTTATATTAAATGTATGGCATACGTGTACGTATAACCTAACTTAACTAAATATTACGATGTCGTGTATGTGCGATTTGTGTCATATAACAATATCTTTAGCATTTCTGAGATATCTCTGTCTTAGCTCCTGCATCTTCTTCCATGCTTTAAATTTTGATCTTCTGGTTTTCTGTACATTTTTATTTATCCACGGTAGCTTTTTGTTGCTTCTTCGGATAGTCGGTATAGTCTCTTCAACAACTTTATTCGTACAGGACTCAAAGGTTTCCCATTTATTTTGCCTTCCTTCTTTTCTGAAATATGGTTTATTTTGCACTCCTTCCTTTCTTGATTCGGAATCTGGTTTCATTTCATTTCGATCCTTCCTACTCTACAAGTAGTGATTATTACACATTTTTTCGACCTTAAATTTTGATTATAGGGTACAAGTTTTTTTTTAAACTCGCAAGTTTGTAAATGGTTTGATCATTATATTGCTTTTCATTTTATGATATTGTGTTTCTGAATCATTTTGAGATAATTTTTATAAACATTTTTTTCATCAGCTTCACAAGAATCGATAAATTGCATTGTGAGTTCTAATGAGTTCTTGATCATGTATGTTTTGATAAATACCTTTTGAATTAGTTTTTGAACGTTTTTTATTCTAGAATTTGATGTAGAATTTTTGTATTAATAAAAATTTTGCCAAATTTGAAACATGAAATTATGTTTCAAATTTTTGAATCTATTTTATAATATTTGTTAAACAGTATGATAATTTGAGTTGTAGGCTAACTTTATCATCGGTACCTCTTTCGATTCTATATTTGCATTAAGATTTGTTAAATGTAAATGCTTTATGAGTTTAGTTTAGTTTATTTTAGTTTAGTTTAGTTTAGTTTAGTTTAGTTTAGTTTAGTTTAGTTTAGTTTAGTTTAGTTTAGTTTGTCTATGTTTTTGTAGCCTTGTGTAATGTTTACACGCAACTTTTTTTTGTTTTATTTATTGTTTACATTTTTTTATAAATAGTTTACTTTATATGCTGGTTTTTATCAAGAAAGAACATTTTTGTTTTAGTGTATTATTTGTAGTTAAAAAAAACACTTGTCATATTCATTTTTCTCATTCTTTCCATTTTTGATGCAATATGGTTACAATAAAAACGAAGTAATTCACCACTTGCTATTTTTACATTTCATAATAACAACTACGAATTAATGCATATTTAGCAAAATTTTCAGTTATATCTAAAATTGTATTTGCATGTTTGAAGAAAAAGCCTTCGTTTTTTTGTGTTATTTTTTATAACGATCTTAGTATAAATACTTTCAAAATGGAAACTTTGACAGAGGCACTAGCAAAGGTAATATCATAGCTTGGAATTGGAAAGACCTAATTTCTAAGGTTTGGAAAGTTGTATTTCAGTCATAGTTATTTGTTATTTTTTTCGTGATCATTTAAATAATTATCATTTTTATTTTGCTCATTTTTTTATAGGCCTAAGCTTATGATGAATTTATTGATATTGTCAAATTTGCAGATTTCCAATGTAGCATGGTCTCTTTCTACTCCAAGACTCAAGTAGGATGTTATTGTCCAGACTTTTTCAAATTATCTTTGTCAACTCTTTTGTATTCATTTTTGCTGTTTTTTTTTTAGGATTTAGGTATTGAAATCTTTCGTTAATTTATTTTTTTACTTATTTGTCATTATATATATATATATATCATCATCATCATCCACGTTTAAAGGTGCTCAACCCTGGGTGGCAGAGCCACCAAGTGTTCGTTTTTCAGAGTTCGCTGACAAAAACTCCTGGTTGGCCTTGTCGCATAATCACGCCCATTTAACCGTCTTTTCCATTCTTTTATATTCTGGGCCATTTTTGGCTTCAGGCCTAATGCCCTCATGTCCTTTCACAACACTTTTTCCCAAGTGAGCTAGAGTCTGCTACTTTTCCCTTAACCGCTAGTTATAATAGTTCTACATTTCTTTACCCAGTGCTTATTTGCTTTACTCTTTACATGGGCGAACCGTCTTAGTCTAACACCTTTATTTACATTGGACAACTCATCTATTCTCAACCTTTTCTTTATTACGCACGCATATCTTGTTTTTTATATTGGCTATCCAGATTACCTAAGACCATTCCTCAAGGATACTCCCATTATTCTTCTTAACATCTACATTTCTATTTTCTTCAACCTTCTCAAGTTTTCAGCTGTAAAAGCCTAAGTTTTGCACCCATACAACCGGCGACTTTTTACACCCGCTTTATATATCTTACCATGTGTAAAAAGTTGTCTGTTATTATATATATATATATATATATATATATATATATATATATAATTTATTAAATCAAAAATCAGGGAAAACCAAATAAAAATATAATATTCTTGTTTTTAGCAGGCCTTCCTGACAAATGTTAATCTTAATGGCGAAAATATAAATAGAAAAATTATTTTTAAGTAGAGAATAGAAAAATGACTAGAAATTGAACTTTAAAGATATAAATTGCAGAAAATGGAAATGATCTTTAATATAATAGTAAGGCGAGTTTATGGAAATTTAATTTTAAAAAATTGGTGTCAGGATCAATGTTGTATTCAGAATTCAAATTAAAATAGAAATATTAAACGCTATTGTTGTGAAGTGAATCATTGGGATTAGGTTTTCTCTGATCAATCATTTCCATGAATGCATGTAGTAGTTGGTAATGTTTTTGTTAAGGTTATTGATTGTGGATTGAATAATCATTCACGAATTCTTGCATGTTCAATTTTGTTCATTGTTCAAGCCAGGCTTGACAGATCCGTATGGTATTTGCATATTTGACATTGATACGTATCCTGAAGGCAGTCGATGGGTGATTAACTTTTGGAGACTGCTGCTCACTACCATCTATCTCTTTAAGTGCTATTTAATAAAAGATCAGAGATGTTGCTAACCATTTTGTCACATTATTTGTTTTTTGAATTTTTTCTCAGTTTAGATTATTACTATGGTTTTGAAATTTTTTTTGCTGGAAGTTTGGAAATTGTGCTTTGACTAGTTTTTATTGAGCTGCTATTGTTTCAAAATTAGGTTTGCGCGACCATTAGCCAGGTTTTGAATACAGGTACATCACCAGCTGAATGTTTCCTGTAGTTTTCTATCTCTGAATCATCTGCAATGTTTATGGTCTTCGCTTGGGATGGATTTTCATGTTGTAGCATGATAGTATTGTCCACAATCTTACACCATTTTGAATTTTTGTTAATGAGTTTTTGCATTTAGTTAAAATTTACATGATGTCGCTCGCATTGTTGAGAGCAACTTTGTTATCCAGATATCTTGTTACGAATGTTTTAAAGTCTGGCAGTTTGGATAAGTTGAAGCTGAAGCTGTGAACTTTTGCCGCCGCCAGCCTAGGCAGTCTTGCTTCTGGCCGGGACTCGCCTCTTCACAACTTTTTATTTCCGGGTCGGAAAACACGGGCCGGGCGGAAGAGTTATCGCGCCCTGTTTGCTGGCCTTCAAGAGAGAAACTCGGGGTCAATGCTGTGACCAGTTCACTCATTGAACCGACTAACCAATTACAAACCACAATAACCCCAAAAACAAACTCTAAAACAAACTCTATTGAAAACTAACTCGTAAACTTTCCCAAAAACTAATTCAAAAACTAACTCCCAAAACAATTGTCCAAAATGCTTATATACTAAACAAACTGAGAAAACATTCATTTTCAAACATACTCACTATATTTGCGCCATACCATACCAACATTCACACAAAAACTAATTAATACAATATTTTACCAACCTGCACTGCACACCTGACCAATTCATACAACATGTGCGCCAACATACACACTTACGCCATTCATTTCACATGCGCGCCAAAATAAATTCACACATACATGGTGAATGTGTGGTAAGTAAATGGGGATTGGGTAAAGAAGTGTAGATCTATTATATTGATAACTGACGGTTTACGGAAGTGGCAGACCTAAGTTGTGTTTTCAAAGGGAAAGTGTTTTCAAAAAACATAAGGACACTGGGTCTGAAACCAGAACTGATCTAGAATAGAAAAGAATGGAAAAGACTGCTAAATGTGCGTGCTCATATTATATATATATATATTATATATATTATATATATATATTATATATATATATATATACACTTTTTCTCACCTAGACCTAAGGTGCATTATTGTCAACACTTAATTCATTCTAGGTTGGACACTTAAGGGACTCATCAGTAGCCCGAATTAAAACATCAATTTAGTACATTTATTATCTCAGTAGATAAAATTCAAACTAATATGATATGTTAACTGAAACTTTTCAGCTATTCTTTTAGTTCTTGCCAGGTACCTGTGTATATCTTTTTTTTATATATATTCCCATATTTTGTTTTTTATATTGGCTATCCAAAAAGTACAGACTAGACACGTTAATGTACGGTCAATTTAATATAATTCCTAAGTATTCATCAGATTTTGCAACTTAACCTATGCGCCCTGATCTACGATCTAAATCTGTTCTTGCTTTTTTTGGTTTATCTCTCTGGATTTTTTTTTACTTTTCTAACTGCTTCATTCCTTACAAAGTTCATAACGGGTCTCAATGCTTGTCTGTTTTTGATTGATTGATTGATTATCATTTTTCCTATATTTTATGATTTCACTGTCTACACTTGTATTAAATATTTCCTATTAATAGTTCTTTAATAAATTTTTTTGTCTTTTAGTGTTTTAGATCAGTTTGAAGTTGAAGTGAATTCATTGCAGATTAAACATGGAGTTAGTTTCACATTTTTTAATTTAGTTTTGCTTCATTTATTCCTTTTTATGGTCAACAGTTGATTAGTTAATGAAAAACATGAAAGTAAAATATGAAATAAAATATGAAATAAATGTACATAAAATTCAATTTTATCAGCTTGAAATTTGATTTAGCTTCAGTTGGTTTTATTCTAATAAGGATATAGCTTTGTACATAACAATTTCCATTCAACGTTATTTTGTAATCAATATCTATTTTTTTACATAAAGATTTAACCAAATGTTAACATCGTTAGCTAGGTTATACTGAATTGTTTTATATTATATTTTTTCAATGACCCACCTCTTTTTTTTATATTTTAGTTAATTTAGTTTTATAACTTATTATGTATACTTTATTAGCAAACTCTGAAGCAAATTTTTTTATACAAAAGAGCAACAAGTCCAAAAATAATAAAATATTTGTTTGAATAATGGCGTACATGATAACATAACCTTTTTTTTCGACAATCGTTTGACATCAGCAGTGTTGAATACGGATTTTGTTTTATTTATTTATTTAAATGATCGTAGTCTCGAATAATTCAGAATCATCATAATAAAGTTCAAACTTAATCAATAAAGTCCTAATCTAGTAAAATCGTTCAAATTAAATTAATAACAAAAGACATTCAAATAAGCATAAAATTTCAAATCTGAAAAATTATTCAAATTTAAAACGAAAAATAGTTCAAATGATAAATTCAAATTAAAATTCAACAAAATCAAACATGTCGAAAAAAGGCCTTTTATTGAAGACGCGCCAAAGTTACCAAAAATTCGACCAAAATTTGGGATTCGGTTTTGGCCATTTTAAGGCCGAAAAGTGCAACTTCTGTTAAAACCACTTTTTTGATTCTTAAACAA